ATCCCCGCCTCCATACCTCTCATTCCCATATTCCCTACAGCTTCTCTATTGCACCTCCTTCCATCTCCATTGTCTTACACGCACGCATGCATGCACACGCGTGCATCTTACACAGCAACACACAGAGACAGGAAGGCTCCCGGCATAACTGGTACTAGGACCCAGGAGATGATGTTCAACTGCAGACTCTCTGCAGAGCGCAGACACAGCCTCCTTCAGCTGAGCAGCTCTGTGCTTGAAGAAATGAATGGGCAATGGCAAGTTAACCATTGTCTTACACGCACGCATGCATGCACACGCGTGCATCTTACACAGCAACACACAGAGACAGGAAGGCTCCCGGCATAACTGGTACTAGGACCCAGGAGATGATGTTCAACTGCAGACTCTCTGCAGAGCGCAGACACAGCCTCCTTCAGCTGAGCAGCTCTGTGCTTGAAGAAATGAATGGGCAATGGCAAGTTAACCCTGTGTGCCCCCCACATGCCTCATTTTTTTGAGGGGGCAACCTCCAAGAAACAGCACCCTTGGTTGTTCTGCCCTTTACTCCCACATGGCCTTGCCTGCAGGGGAGGGAGGAAAGAGGGAGGAGGCATTTCGTGTGGGTGTGCAGGCATGCAGGTTTCCCCCCAGGAGTAAATAGGTGCAACCTTAGCTATGGAGTGATTGCTGTCACTCCATAATGTATCCTAGTGCCTCCTGCTATTCAAAGTACATGCAACTTTATTTTCTTAAAATGTGCGATTGAGTTCTTAATGGAAACTGAGGAAATAATGTGCTAAATCCCAGAATTGCTCAGTGCCAGGTCACATTTCACTAATTGGTTTTGAAAATGAAGGGGAAAGGAGAGGGAAATTATAGAAAATGACATCGTGTATTTACTACAGAGTCTGCTCACATAATTTCTATGCAGGAACTTTCAGGGTTGATGAACCCACATTTTACTGTGAAAGTGAAATAAATATACTGCTCTACAGAGCACTAGTATGATGTAGTTCTGTTAATGATAAAAGCGTGTGATCAAAGGGCATTGTGTGATTCTGGGACTTTTCAGTGAACTAAATGGAGGTATCTTCCAATTGACTTTGAAAACCAAGCAAATTAAATCTTTTGAACATTCTTCCCTTTACTATTCTATCCCATTGTTTCAAGAGCTCTTTGTGGGTTCTTTTGTTTTCTTTCGATCTAAATTCTGCATGTTTTTATTTATTTATATGTGCATTGCTATTTAATTGTTAGACTAAAAAGTACTGTAAGAATTCCTAACTTCAAGGATTCAGGAAAAAAAAAGGTGTAAAGACTTCTTTAAAATCTGATCATGCAGTAATGTTTCCACTGACCTTTCCCTGGGCAGCTGTGGGTTAAATCTGCCTTACTTTATGTTTCTATTAACTTCTGATAACATTTTCTAAAACTGTTATTCACCAACACATGTGCAAAGGAAGGGAGATTTTCAGTATTCCCAAATAAGTAGACTCCTTATCTACTTATCGGGGAGGCTTCACTGCAGCATCTGCAATATAAAGCTTATTTAAGCTTTATACTGCAGAGCCTGTAACACATGTAACAGCTAGGATTTGTAGCGGTTACATGATTATATTTTTAAGCAACTTTTTACATTCCTAGTTGTAACATGCATTGTCGAAGGGTGGGCAGAATATTTAGACCATCAACATGACTATATAACAAGCAGAGAAAGTTTTAGGATTTGATTTTTAGGATTTACAAGTGTGCTATGTGTTTTGTGATAGAAATAAAAACCAAAAGGGCATTTTTGAAGAATATAACTGGGTTAATTATTAGTGGAAGAGAGAGAGAGGCAGATCTGATGCTATTAATAGTAGTCGTTGGACAGCTGAGAACTTAAAGAGATAATGTCAGCTATGCTGTATTTTTAATACAGTACATGAATTTCCAAATTGGGCTCTGTAATGCTTCCTCAGACTGGTACGTATATCCTATAATTTTACTAGAAGCATATAATTTTAGATCTGACCTCTGTAAAATTAAGATGGCTGTGAATGCATGATGATTGTCAGAGAACAATGACTGACTCTGTCCTACCACCCTATCTGAATCTTTTCTTTTTCTTAAATTTCACTTTTGTGGTACTCAGCTTGAATCTCACCAGTCACATGAAAACATCTAGGTTGCTCCCCTTTCCTAAAGCTAATTAAATGTTTAGTTATTCAGGTAACCTTCAATTAAAAACTTGTCTGTGGGGCTTATCCACTTGACGTGGCTTGGGGGGGAATCTGCAGAAATGCACCAGAAAAAATGGAGAGATCGTTTCTTCAGAGTTTGCTGGTTTCTCAGTCTGTTGAGGTACAAGTGCAAAATGTACTGGAATTTTGTGCCACTGCACAAGGCAGAATTTGTGCAGAATTTCATTTTCATAATTTAAATCACTTGTCAGGAAGACTCGATTTAATCATGGTTTTCTACGTAAGTGCATTCTTGTTGGTTATCATCACCTTAATACATATTCTTCACAAATCAGATATAGGTTTCATTTTTAAAATATACACACTTTATTTTTAAACAGTGATTTATTTTGAAAACTTTTCAGATTAGTTTTACAGCTATATCTAAAAATGAATGATTGTTTGGTTATTTCATATACCAAAGTTAATTGAAGCAAATATTTATGAAGTCATTGAGAGGTGAACTGTCTCCAGCTGAACAGGTTAATCATTAATATTTGGAGGATTTTCTTGCCATGCTGTATTAGAAGGAGAACATCACCAGACAGACAATTAAATTGTTTAATTTAATTAAAACAACATTATATACTCTGCATTTTTCTTTAACAGTAAATATAATATTTTAACAAAACAAGCATATCAATTTTCAAATTTAGTTAACCATTCAAGTTTTTTAAAATCAGGTTTATTTTTGTTAAAATTGTGGTTAACTAAAACAGTTAAATGAAATATTTTTTAAACAAATTAAATAGATTTCGTCAGCCAGGTCAACATGAAAAACTTAAAATATTGGCTAACTCAGTCATCTTACCTTCATTTTCCTGTTTGTTCACAATCTGGAAAAGAAAAACAAGCTTTGCTGCTTTTTTTCAGGTCCCAGACTATTTCAGTTTGGAATGATTTTAGTCCAAAAGAAGAAAATCTTCTGTTGGTATAGAAAGAGCTTACTGCTGTTAAGTGAGATTATCACTTCAAACTGTCTCTGAATCCAAGTTGCTTAAGTGACTTCCACCAGTTCACTGGAATGACTTTCTTTAAAACATCATCAGCAAAAAATATTTTTTTGAATAGTTCACCCTTAGCACTGAAATCTATTATACTGTAGTTGGCATTCTGGAGGGATGATTGCTGGATGCCTGTGTCATAGACAACTCCTCTTCTTTGGCAGTTTTTCACGATTTTGTTCATGAATTGTCTTCAGACTAGGTCACTTATTGGTATAGTACTCAAAATAGTCCACTACC